AAAAAAAAAAAAAAAAAATTAAAGGCTGGGAATGCAGCTCAGTGCAGAGGGTCTTGGTCCAATACCAAGTATCACCAAAAATAAAAGCAGAGAGAGAAACAGGCACAGGAGGACTAGAGGTTTTAGCTAAGTGGTAGAGTGCTTGCCCAGCATGCATGAATCCCTGAGTTTAACCCCAGCAACACTCACACACACACACACACACACAAAAGATGAAACCCAGCAAGCCACAGGACCCAGCTCCAAGTGATACTGGGTAGTATGTGAAACCAGATAAAACCAGATAACAAGAGGTGCCACAGAGAGAAGCGAGTGGCCCACAGGACCGAGGCAGGCAGTGACCAAGCCACCTTTGCTCTGCCTATCTGGTATATGCAGTTCTACCAATGGCCAGAAGGTGGCGCTTCGATTTTTAAAAAAAAAAAACCACGAAATAATTCAGACCTGAAGGTGGCATCTGTCAGCATAAACCATGCACTCCAATCTCACCAGTGGTGTTTCCTGGCTCAGCATGCTGCCTTCTGGTTCCTCCCATCTCTCCATTTAGGATTCTCTCTGGACATGGCAGTAGGAAGCAACAGCTCCAATCCTGTGGTCCAAGAAGCCCTGGGCCCCCAGGATTCTGGCCATGTTACACTGCAGCTGTACACCCCTGGTCAGTGATGTACCTGGTGTCACCCTCCTCCCTTCATCCAGCACTCATCCAGGTTTCCCCAGCACCTGTGTTCTAGAGTCACAAGAGCCCAACCAGGCTGAGTGAAAGTATTTTGGAAACTAGAGTTTTCTCGACTAACCAGAGCATCCAGAGCCATGGTGTGGCAGAGAGCACACACCCAGACGGGCGACCTTCCAGTGTCAGTTTCTGGTTTGACCCAGGTCCCCGGGGCTTGCTGCCAGCCCTGGCCGGCTCAAAAAAGAGGGAGCAGGGAAGGCTACCCCCGAACTGGCCGCAGCTCCCACACTCACCATTCAGCTCACAGCCCAGGAGCTCGAAGCGCAGGGTGCAGCCCCTGTAGCAGGCCACAGGGTACAGCCTCACGTACTGGACCTCCAGCGGGGCGCTGAACAGGTTGAGCTTCAGGCCGCTGTTGTTCATGTTACCCTCGAACACCTAGCGAGGAGGGCCAGGACTGCGGTCAGCGTGGGCCGACAGAGGCTGGACAGTGAGGACTCAGCAGAGCCTCCGATGCTTAGGCAGCAGCCCTTCTCTGGGTGCCCCCCACCCCCAATGCAGATTCTCCATCTGCACCTTCCTTGGTCATCGTGGGGACCGGACATAAACCACCCCTACATTTTGTGCAAGGGCTACCCATACCCCAGAAGCACCTCTGAGTATACTAGGGAAAGGCTCTCCTTCTGCATGACACTTTATTAGGATAATTTTCCAAAATCTAGAGCCACACAGATCTACCCCGTCTGTATTGCAAATAGTGTCCACTTAGTGATGACATTCTTGAGCTGTGTACAATCTGCACAACGTACGCAGCAAACCCTGAACCCTGAAGCCACCCTGAATGTGAACCCTGTACACAAAATGAAATCCAGCCCCACTGACATTAATCCCCCTGGCAGGTCATGGCACCATTGTGGGGCTCTCTGTTCTCATCTATAAAGTGGGGCTATGACTTGTAACCACAGAACGTGGACACAATGGTTTGATCAATTTCTAGACACTAGGACGCGCGTCACAGCCAAGCACCCAGGGTGCCCTTGCTTCCACCTACGCTAGAACTCTATCGGGTGCAGAGCCTAGGCCCACTCTGGGACTACCTTGTCCCCCGAGCCCTCTTCATCCTGGATGAAGTGGAACTTGCGTCCATTGAGGCTATAGGCCACTTTGAAGGTCTTCACATACTCGGCACTGCCTGCACGGCTGGCACCCTGCGTCACCACGCCTGTCACCCACATCTTCCGAAGGAGGTTCACCTGCAAGGGCAAGGAGGACAGCACCTCGTCGCCAAGACACAGGTCTGCTGGCCCCAGGAGAGGACCCAAGGCCTCGTCCTCAGCAGACAGCCCCCTCCTTTGCCAGCCCCCTGGCCTGAACCCACCCAGCTCCACCAGGTCCCCAAGGCTGCCCCACTTTCAGACCTTCAGCACAGCCACCTGTTATCTTGCTGGGTCTGGCTTCACCCCCCCAGACACAGGCACACCCCTCTCACCACCACCCGCACCTGGATCCAGGGCTTCCTGTCATAGTTGCTGGCCGTCCAGGCGTTGACAATGCCCGAGAGGCGCAGCCGGGCCAGCTCCGGAGCCCAGCGCTGCAAACCCATGAAGCCCAAGTACAGGGACGAGGCGGAGATCTGCGAGTCAGCGATGGCGCCCCCCTCCATGCCCAGGCCCCTGATGCAGTCTGCAGGGAAGATGGGGCCAGTCAGGGACCAGAGGACAAGACAAGTACTCAGAGGGTGCAGCCCAAAAGGGAACCTCAGACACTAACTCGGAACAGAGGCAGTGCCAAGAGGGAGAGTGGGTCCAACCAAAGCCACCATAGCTTCAGCCCCAGCGCTGCCTCAGCACTGCCAGAGACCCGGCCGGGACAGGCATGTCTGGGGGCGAGTGTCCCCGGGTGTGGTACATGCTTTGGGCAGCAGCAGCTCCGGTGTGGGTGGACCGTGGGAGAGGGCACCAGTGTGACTCTTCCTCGGTATTTCTAGGAGGGCGGTTTTAGGAAAAGGGGGACTGTAGACAATGGAGAATGGAACAAAGCAATACACGAACCTTCCTGGGTGTCCTAAAGCAGGAGTTTCCGGGTGAGGCATAAACACCTTTCTGTTTTGCCCTCCATCACCCAAGGGTCCTCACCCACCAGCCAGCTGTGAGCGTGCCCCTCCCAGGTGGACCCCATGACCTTCACCACCCCAGCAACATGGCACAAGGACACAGGACAGCCACCAAACCCACCAGCAGGCTGGGCTTCTCCTGCTCCAAGGGTCTCCACGGCACATACCAGGGTGAGGACACAGGGACCCAGCGTCCAGCTGGTGCTGAGCTCAGCACTCTCCCTTGCTCAGTGACCAGGTGCCTGAGATCAGGGATAGCTGGCAACTTGGCTCTGCCTCCAGGACCATCCTCATGCCCCCCAGGGGCACCCAAGGGATCCACTGTGCAACCTCAATGCTGGCTCCAGGGAAACATCAAGGACAAGCAAGGAGGGGCCACCAAAGGCTCTCTGGGACTCCCTTGGCCCGTGGGGTCACCTCCCATCCTGTGTCCCAGGTATGACCATGTGCAGCTGGGAAGACCCCAGGCCAAGAAGTTCAAAGAAGGCCAGATTAGTCAGGTGTAATCATGCATGCCTGTAATTCCCAGGACTCTAGGAGGCTGAGGCAGGAGGATTGAAAGTTGGAGCCCAGCCTCAGTAATTTAGCAACTTACTGAGATCCCGTCTTAAAAAAAAAACAAACCAACAAACAAAAAACACAAAGGGCTGGAAATGTAGCTTAGTGCAAACGTCCTGGGTTCCTTCCTCAGTAAACAAAAAGGGGGGGCAGGTGGGTAATTCCACACAGGCACACCTGTAGTTACCTCAGCACATAGCACAGTAATTACCAGCCCTGGCTCAGCCCTGGCTCCAGCTGCCTTAGCAACCCCTAGGCCCTCCTCCGCCCAGGCTCAAACACCTCTGGCTTCAGCCCCAGCCTCCTGAGACAAGGGCATCCTGGACACCCTGTCTGCTCTCCCAGCCCCCAACTCTCAGCACCTGACCTGCAGGGCAATGAGAACCTGACCCCTCACCCACCCGTCCTGGGCACAACACACCCCCACATCCCAGGGGATAGGACAAGTCCTGGGGTGGGGCGGTGGGCACTGGGTGGGGGGCTCCAGCCAGGCACCCTTCTGGATCACCCTGATGCCGCAAGTGGATAACAGAGAAGGTCCGGGGCTCAGCCCCACGGCACAAGCTGGGCCTCTGGTCACCTGACCAAAGGGGACAGTCCAGCTTGCCCAGGCCTCCCCCGCTTCCCCCTAACCTCTATGACAAGGTCATAGGTCAAACAGACCAAGCCTGATTTACTGAACTCCTGGCTCCCAAAAGATTAAGAAAGTGTTTATTTGCCCTGAGTGGCAGGAAATCCCAAGAATTAATCCTAACATTGTGTGTGGCTCATGTTGACTCAGGAAACAGCACTCCCACGACCTCCGGAGTCACCACAACCCTCACTCCCAGCAGGGACATCAGGCCTGGCCTGCAGTCTCAGAAGGGCCAGGCCAAAAGAAGGACACCAGGACCCTTTCCCCCTTCACTGAGGCTCTGGCCCTGCCTCAGTGTCTCCCCGAGGAACAGGAGCAGCCCACAGCCTGGACCACCAGGACAGGACCTGTCTGCCCTAAGCAGCACCCCGGAACTCACTCGTCTCGCAGTGGATGCCTGCATAGCCCCGAGGACAGTCACAGACGTATGGGGTGAACACATCCCCTCGGTGGGAGCTGTCGACCACCTGGCACTCAGCATTTTGGTAGCAAGGGTTTGGGGAACAGGGACCTGAGAACAAGAGGCAAGGAAGATGGGTAGATGATCCGCAGTGGCAGACTGACCTAGCACAGAAAGACCCTCTGCCCACTCAGCCCACCCTTACCTCGCTGTCCCCTCCTCCAATTACCTGGTGCAGCCGGCTCATGAGTAGGCAAATCTGCCCAAATACAGGAAATCTGGAATCTGCCCAGATTTCCAAGTGGCCTGGGAGTTTCCAGGGGGTTGGTGGCTGCCACAGGGAGAGGTGGGGACCACCACCTACCCAGGAAGAGAGAAGCTAGGGGCTGATGCAACAGGCCAGGCTCATGCAGGACCCTTTACCTTTCTCAGTCTCGTTGCAAAGGAGGCCTATGAAGCCCTCAGGGCAAAGGCAGTAGAAGGAGACACTGTCCTGGCCCAACAAGCAGGTCCCACCATTCAGGCACACGCTGGAGTCACAGAAGTCACCTGCAACAGCAACCCCACGTCAGGCACTCAATAAACATGTAGGAGGCCAACTGCCATGTGCGTGCTGGGCTCTGAGATGGGAAATCAGATGCTGGCCAGGCCTCCAGGGACCAGTGGGAAAGAGGAGGCCAGGAACTGAGTGGATCCTCTGGTGCAGGACGTGGCAGGGAGTGGAAGATTCACAAGCGAGGGGACATTTGAGCTGGGTCTAAAAGACAGTCGGGGTGGAGGCAGACTGGGGCTTTGGGAAGAGCATTCAGGGTACGAGATGTTGGAAGATAAGATGTGGTGGAAGAACGGGGTGGGCTACACTGGGAGGGACCTTAAAAAAGACAAGTTTCTTTCAGGCACAGTGGCACACACCTGTGGCACCAGTGCTTGGGGAATTGCAGCAGGGCAATCCCAAGTTTGAGCTCAGACTGGGCAACTTAGAGTGAGACCCTGTCTCAAAATGCAAACAAAAACACATTTTTTAAAGGGCTGGGAGGGTTGCTCAGTGCAATGGCCTTGGGTTCAGTCCTCAGGAAAGAGAGAGAGAGAGAGAGAGAGAGAGAGAGAGAGAGAGAGAGAGAGAGAGAGAGAGAGAGAAGAGAGAGAGAGAGAGAGAGAGAGAGAGAGAGAGAGAGAGAGAGAGAGAGAGAGAGAGAGGGAGAGAAACAAGTTTGGAGTTTGCAGCACATCAGTAGCTTTCAGCCTTCCTCCAATTTCTCCAGTACAGTTCAACAGGGAAACACACACAGCTGAGGTGGGAGGTGGGAGTGGGAAGCCTGTCTGATCCTGGGAAGAGGCAAGGCGCCCCCAGTGCACACAGATCCTGACCAGCTCCCCAAGTGAGGAGGATCCAGGGCTGCAAGCCCAGCCCCCTGGATGAAAGCCAAGGCGTCAGGGCAGAGGGTGAGGAGCAGGGGTCACTTGAGTCTGTGGAGTGAGGGCCAAGGAGGTGACAGGAGGGCTGGGGAAGCTACCAAGGCTCCCAGATAGGGCCCTAGGTGACTCGGCACAGTCCACCGGCCAGAGCATACAGGAGCAGGCTGGGCTGGATTTAAAGGGCTGTACGTGCCCCCACCCAAACAGGCCATTTGGGTTGGGCCAGAGGAAACCTTTCTTCCCTTGACTCACCCACAGGAGCCAACGGCCCTCCTGCAGTCCCAAGGCCCTGGGAGCCCAGGTGGGCCCAGCTCCCAGGCAGGAGGCCCTCAGCGTGATCAGCCTGGCCTCCTCAGCGGGGCCCAGGGAGCTCAGGCAGCTCCCAAAGAGCTATTAGTCACGGGCTTTAAATAGCAGGTTAATCCCGCCTCTGACCCGGCAGCAGGAGGAGGGCACTGCGAGGACCAGGAGCCTGGGCGCCTCTTCCTCCCCTCCCCTCCCAGCCACACCCTCCCCGTGAAGCTCCATAGTGGAAAAAAGGGGGGGGGTCCAGAGGGGAAGGGCGGGGCCACCACCTAAGGTGGCCTTGGTGCCTCCTGCTAGGAAGAGCCAGATCGCCCTCTACAAACTCGCCCGAGCTTGGCGTTCAGGGTCCAGCTCCAGGGGAGCCACCCACAGGGGCCTCTGGCCGGGCGCAGGAGGCAGAGAGGAGGGGCGGGAAGGGGCGGTGAAGACCTGGATATCTTTCTGGCTGGCTGGGGCGTACTAAAGGCTTCAGCTCCAGCCTGGGTGGCATATATTTCACAGGACAGCGGAGCTGGAACCCAGCTGAGACCTCCTTGCCTCAGGGGACCCCATCTCTATGAGATGATGGGGGACTGCCTGAGGAGCCCTTGCTGGCACCCCCAAAACGAAGCGAGTGGGGCGTCCTGCGGAGCAGCTTGCCAGTGTGCCTGGGGCCTCGGCGGAGGAGGCTGACCAGGAAAGATACCGGAGGCAGTCAAGGCCACAGGAGGGAGGGAGGCGAAGCCCCCGCACCAGGGGCGGCTCTTTTCCAATTGCTCCCCAACCCCCAGCCAGCCTGACTGTCCCACCGCCTCCGCGGCCTTTCCTTTATCTGATCAAACACGGACAAGTGGGGGCGCAAAAGTCCAAAGCACTGCTGGGCAGTGGTGGCACACGCCAGTAATCTCGGCATTCCGGGAGGCTGAAGCGGGAGGATCCCAAATTCTAGCTCAGCCTGGGCTACTTAGCTAGAACTTGTCTCAAAAAGAAAAATAAATTAAAGGGGACTAGGAATGCAGCTCGGCATGAAGGCCTTGGGTTCAAGCCCCAATACCGCCAAAAAGAAAAAAAGTAAGTTCAAAGCGGGGCTTAGCAGGCAGCTCGGGAGGGAGCTGCGCAGAGAGCGGCGGAAGGAGGTGCAGCCCTGCAAGAGTCCAGGGATTCTCCTGGCGTACTGAGAGTCGGACGCAGATCCGTGGCCTCATTCTACAGACGGCAAAAGAGAGGCAGACGCAGCGGATTCCTTTGTTCTGTGTAAACCACATCCTGGGGGAGCCGGGCTGTCAGCCAGTGCCCGCGTCCCGCTCGCGGGCCGGCCGCTGTCCCC